TACCATCTGCCAGGCATTTCTGTCGCGTCATTTCCTCTCCAATAACCATCTTATCAGATAAATGTTATTATTCACAGTTTGTAATGAAGAAGCTGAGGTTAACTCGAGCTTAACAGAGAGGCTAACTCAGGGTTACACAGCTAACAAATGACTGATCTGGAATTCAAAGCCAAGCCCGACATGAAAATCCACAGTCATTCTAACACACTGCGACACCTCTAAGGGAAGTAACAGTCAGGTTGGACCTTGATGGACAAGCAGGAATTTGACAAGCACCACGGGGGAAATTGTTGCAGACAGAGGGAGCCGTGTGGTCAAAGACGCGGAGTTTGAAATATATGACAGGTGTAAGGAACATGCATCCTGCACTCTGGCTGCATCGTAGGTTGAAGGGAGGTCAGTAGCTTGAGCTGAGGCTGGAAAGAAAGTCTGGGACAGATTGTGAAGATCACCGTAAGGAGTTTGGACCATATTTTAAAGATAGGAGGGAGCTGCTGGAGTCTCGTTAAGCAGGGCAGTGATGTCTAGAAATAAATGCTAGAGCAGTGGTTCTCAAAGTGTGGTCCTTGAACCTCAGTATCACTAGTCAGAAACTCGAATACTGGGATCCCATCCAGACCCACTGAATCGGAAACTCTGGAGGGGGGCCCAGCAACGTGCATTTTCACAGGCCCTCCTGGCGGTTGCAATGTGTGTCCACGTTTGAGAACCACGGATGCTGTTGGCATCCACTAAACTGGATAGATGGAGTAGGGAGGAACCAGAAGCCACGAGACCGGTGCAGAAACTATTGAGTAATTCCAGTGAAGACTTGAGTGATGACAGCAGCAGTAAGATCCGAGTGGCAGTGATGGATTAAGCAGGCGTTTCAGAGGTAAAATGGATGGGGCTTGGTTATTGAAAAGAGAGAGAGCAGGGAGGGGGCAGGGACGCTCTGGCTGACTCCTGGTCTCAGCTTCGGATGACAAGTGCCTGGTAAAGTCATGAACTGAGAGACAGTGCCTGGAAAAAGAGTAGCTTTAGACGGCAGAGGTGAGGAGTAAATGATGGGTCTGGAGTGCCGGCAGGACTTTGGGGTGGAAAAGTACAGTAAATTGGAAAGGTGGGTGAGGAAGGCCAGCGAGAGGGCAGAGCTGGGCTTGAGCTCTGTTTGGGGGTCATCAGGACGCAGGTGGTAGCGAAATGGGGGGCCTGAGCGAGCTTGCCCGTCCTCACACCCCCTCCCCCGACACCATTAACCCCCAGGCGCAGACCCCTGCTCTCTGCATGGGCTTGGGCAAGCCACCCAGTGTTTCTGACCCACCCCACTCTGTCTTCATCCTCAAAACGGAGACAGTAGCACCCACCCCTGGGTTATTGGGAGAAATCAATGAACTATAATGTCCTCCATGTGTCTGGCATGGATTAACCTCCCCCTCACACCCCCCCCCCGCCGTCTGTCACCCACCTCTCCACGGAAGGGTCTGCTTGCACGTTGTCTCCAGGCCTAAAGCTCAGCTCCATGGTCTCACCTCCATCCATTCCCAAGTCCCCAGGCACACAGACATGGGCATGCCTGTCTACCTGCTCCCGCGAGACATACGCTTCCCGGACCGGCCCTTCCCCTCCCAGGCTGGCCCGGGTTAACTCCTCCCTGCCACACCTGTCCGGAGACTACACAAGCTTACACAAAACTGAATCAACATGAACCTGAAACATCACGTGTCTAGTCATGCTCTTGCAGAGTGAGGTCCAGCAGCCTTCCAAAATTTATATGTGGAGGTGGTGGCCATGCTGTTCCGACCCACCCCGCCCCCGGCCCTCTGCGGGAAGAGGGGACACAAGGATCAGGAACTCCCTCCAGAGGGAGGGTCTCTGGGCCATGTCTGTCAGGTGACAAAGTGGTGGCAGTGGTGGCAAGTACACGTGTTCCCTTGGGCTTAGAAAAGATCCCTTGAGTTAGAAGTTTGGGTCTGTCCCTGAACCTGAAATTAGTGGTGAATCTCCCTAAGCTTCCACCTGCTCCCCTGCTAAGTGAGCAAAACCATGTCCCCCACTGCTCCGCCTTGCATCAGCCACGATTTCACCAAGGTCCCTAAGACCTGAAGGACTAATTAAGGGCTCCCGAGGCCCTGCGTCTCCCGCCACCTGCCCCTCACCCCCTGGCCTTCTCTTAGTTCCGTTCCAGCAGTGGCCTGTACATTTGCCCTTCCTTCTATCAAAAGCCCATTTCCCCCAGTCTCTAATCTACTGTTTCTACCTTATTATGTAGGTCTAATCCAGGTGTCACCTCCTCCAAGAGGCATTATATCTCTGCCACCCTAAGGGACTCCCCTCCTCTCTCTGAGTCACTCACTACCCCATCACCTTGTTGTATTGTCTTCAAAGAAACTACAGCCAGCTGAAATCATTTTGCTTATTATGATACTCTGTTCATTGTGTGTCTCCCTTCACTAGAATGTGAGTTCTCTGAGAACAGGAACTACATCTGTCGTTCATCTGTGTAGCTGTAGCACTTGGAACAGGCTCCAGCATACACAGCACTAAGGAGTTCCAGGATGAGTGGATGGATGGATAGATGGATGGATGGAAGGGTGGATGGTGGGATGCTGGGAAGGCATGTGTAAAAGAAGTAACCACTATAGCCCTTGATCCCAAAGACCTGAGGCCCTGAACAGAACAGTCCAAAGCTGAGACCCAGTTGCAGGTTTCAGATGATCCTTTTGACTGGTAACAGGGAGAACACACTGGTGGCCCAGAAGTGCTGGTGCGTTCAGCAGGCTGGGGCAGCAGGAGATGACGTTTTCCCTGAGGCTGCCCTCCCGGGGCCTCCCTGCTGCCCGCATTGCTTCCTATAAATCCCTGCCTCCCCTTCCCGGGCTCCCCGTTCCCCACCTCCCCACCACTAGGCCTCCAACTCACCCCGCTGTACGCTCAGCCCCGCCGCACCTCCCACGCCAGTATTGTCTTGAGAAAGAAGAGCTGAAGCCACCTCACGCCTCTTTCCCCTCTGCATGGGGTGGGGATGTCCGGGGTGAGTTGTCTGGTTCTAAAATTGACCCCATCTCCTCTTTTGCTTCCTCTTTTTACAGTCCCCTCTCTCCACTCTTGTGGCTTTCATGAGTCCCCACCGCACACACACTTATCTTCCAACTGCTTTTGCAATAAGCCTTCCCCTCTTGTGCTCACCGGCTTCATACCCTCGAGTACGTGTGTAAGTGGGGAGGGGCGGCGGCAGCCTGAACACCGTGGCGCAGGCGCCCGGATCACCTGTCTGAACATCTGAGTCGCCTCTCCTGAGACTCCTGTGTGCTGTGCTCAACCACTGGTGGCTCCCTAGGCTGACCTTTGGCCCATCCCTTGGCTGGAAATTGCTTTGAAGATAGTGATGGGCACCGTTTGCGACATGCTGGTGACCTGCCGGACACAGTGCTAGGCGTTGCTTAACAAGTATCTCATCTAATCTTAAAAGAACCTCACAAGGTAAAGTATTATTACCCCCACTTTACAGATGAGCAAAAAGGCTCTGAGGTTCACTGGTCTAAGCTCACATGGCTGAGAAGTGGCAGAATCAGACTCCAAACTCAAATGGGGCCACAGTGTGTCCTCTGCAGTGCTGTGGGGAGCGCCCTGAACACACCCCTGCTTTGCTTACCTAGCAGCGCCTCCATCATCAGATCTTGCTGCCGCACACTCCCCCCTCCCCGCCCCCGCCCCTCGTAGGCAGGCGGTTCTCATCCCTGGCCTTCCTGCTTCAAAGCATCCGAATGTGACAGTCCCCTCTGTCCTTCGGCCAGCCCTCACTCACGGAAATGAATTTGCACCAGAAGGTCTTGTGGTTTCAACTTGCTTGTTGCCGTGGTTTGGCCTTGCCATCTCGGTTGCTGGCCAGGATCATTGTATGCTTTGGGGGGCTTATTCACAGCCCATTTTTCTTGCTGTCCTATAGCTTGTCAGGAGCAACTGACATCCCGCCATTTGTCAGCGTGAGACCAGGGCTGGCTCAGTCGTGCCAACGGCAGTGTTGGCAGCTCTGGAGACAGCCATCTGAGAGCCCGTTCTGCTCCAGCCTTCCCAGAACCTACAACATTCATTATTCTTTATCCTCTGCAGCCCTCAGATGGGCTCCCTTGCTTGGTGACAAACTTCTGCTCCAGCTGTGCCTACATTTGCAATTTAGGCAACTGAACAAAGGCCTCCATCTTTTAAAATGGCGGCATGTGGTCCATTCAGTGAATTTGGGCAGCTCGGAAAGACTGTCGGCTCTCGCTAAGCGGATCCCTTATCCAAATCCAGGACACACCCTGAGCGGAGCTGCTGGGTCCTGGATGGCAGCAGACTGGGGGCCTGGCTGGCTGCCAGGGAGTGACAGTGAAATACAGGCAGGAGATCAAAACAGAGGTTAAATGTGGTCAGTAAGGACAGCAAATGTGTAAGCTGGTGTCGGCCGGGCCAGAAGCGAAGGGAAGTCAGTAGCAGCAAATCAGGTAAAAGGGCTCAGCCTTCAGAAAATGCAGGATGGTACAGCCCAAAGCAGAGGCCGAGTCTCGGGGGCTTCAAGCCAATGGACAGAGGATGGAGGCAGGATGCCAGAATCAGGAGTGGTGTCGTAATAATAGCAGTAAACATTTATGGAGCGCTGAACCTTTTCTGTGGGTCAGACCTTGTATATTAACTCATAGAATCCTCACAGCAACTCTATAAAATAGAAGCTGTTACCATTCATACTTTACTCCTGAGAAAAGAAAGTTCAGAGAGGCTAAGTAACTTGCCCAAGGTCACATAGCTAGCAAGAAGCACACTTAAACTCAGGACCCTCTGACAGCTCTCTGTCACAAACTGCTGCAGAAGCATCACTGTTGAACATGAGACAGACGGCTCTCCCCCTCCTCCAGGGTTTTTTCTTAAACTGAAGAATCATTAGTTTACAATGTCATGTTAATTTCAGGTGTACAGCAAGGCGATTCAGTTACACACACACACACACACACACACACACACACGTACATATATATTATATACTTTTTCAGATTCTTTCCCATTATGTATATATTTCTTTTATATACATATGTATATATACTTCTTCAGATTATTTTCCATTATAGTTTATTACAGGATATTGAATATATTTCCCTGTGTTATACATTAGGTCCTTGTTGTTTATCTATTTTATATACACTAGTTAATCCCAAATTCCAAATTTATCCCTCCCTTCCCCTTTGGTAACCATAAATTTGTTGTCTATGTCAGTGAGTCTATTTCTGTTTTGTAAATAAGTTCATTTGTATCGGTTTTTTTTTAGATCCCACATATAAGTGGATATCATAGGCTGTTTATCTTTCTCTGTCTGACTTACTTCACTTAGTATGATCATCTCTAAGCCCATCTGTGTTGCTGCTGTCCTCCAGGTGTTAAGACCCATCTGGGGAGGGCGTGGCTGACAAGTGCTGGAGGGTGTTTGCAGCTCCCAGAGGGAGGCCACGTTCCCCCCAGGGCTCTGCTTAGTGTTCACAGCAGAGAGAGAGAGCTGGTTCCTCTGGAAGTTTGATCATCTGTCCTGCTGTTTGGACTAGATGAGGGATCTGTACTTCTCTCCATCCAGATGCAAATGCAAGTCTAGTTAAAACACTCAGATGTTCCATTTAGCCTTTCTTGAATTTGAAGCCACCCAGCTGTTTAAACAGAGATAAGCCAGATCCATCATGCCTGAGCTTACCTTTCTCGTGTGTGTGGAGATACCAGACTCTGGCACAAATAATGCAGCCACTGAAGCCTGGTGTGTATTTTCTGGGATTTTTATTCCAAGGTGTCAACAGAGTGCTCAGTGTCAGGCTTGAGGATAGCCATTCTCTCTTATCCTTGGGCAAATCACTTAACTTTTCAAAAAAACATTTTAACCGAAATATACATATAGAAAAGTACACAAATTGTAAGCGTCAGCTTGATGGATGATCACAAAGGGAATGTACTCATGTACTCACAATCCAGGTCAAGAAATATACCATCACAACACCCTGCGCCCCACCTCTCCCGCAAAATGCCTCTTATCACTCTCCATGCCCTCCCTCTTCCCAAAAGGTGACCATCATCCCAAAGCGAACACCATCTTTGCTAAGCCTTGTTCTCCTGTCTTAAATTGTCTGCTGCGACCTTGAGGTTGTTGTGGGGCTCAAGTGCAGCCTGTGAAAAAGAACTTTGGGGATGTTATTATGGGTGGGCACGTGAGCCATGTCAGCATCTCTCTGAAATGGATCAAATGCACTTCATCACCTGGGAGGAGTGGCCAGAGTGACGATGACATCTCTAGTTCTGCTCTTTGAAAAACTGCAGGGAGCCCTGAGAAATGCCCTCTGCCCTTGGCAATGGTTTTTTTTTTTTTTTTACATTTTTATTGATTCATAATCATTTTACAGTGTTGTGTCAAATTCCAGCCTTGGCAATGGTTTTGATTTGTGCACATGCTGATAAGAAATGAGAAAGAGGCTCGCGCTCTCCAGTTCGGGGATCTGGTGGGTCAGATCTTTGCTCACCCTTCCCGGCACTTGAGGGCAGCTCAGGGTCCAGTCTGGGGCAGAGCTGGGGCCTCCCTTCTGCCCAGCAGGGCAGTAAGGGGTGGGGGAAGCACTCGAGGGGGCTTGTTGGCTTGGAGTTGAGAGGGGGCAAAGGGGAGGCTTCTGGAAGTTCCGGCAACTGGCCAGTATTTTATCTCACCCAACAAAACAGCCCTAATAACAGACCTGGGAATCACACATTCCTAAATATGGGGCTGACGAGTGGAAAGGGAAATAAAAGAAAGTACCGTGGGCTAGAGGTACCGTCGGATTCCTCCAGCAGTGGTCAGCCTTGCGGCCTGAGGCTCCCTGAGCATCTTAATAAGCACCGGCTTGGAACCCAGAGGCCTTCCTAATAGGTGTAGAGCCAGCTGGGTCAGTGCAGGCCCTCTGCCTGTAAAGTCAGGGCTGCGCGTTTGATCCCCACGTGGGCCAGTTAGCCCTGCTCCATGTCAGGGCCCCACACTGCGGCCCAGACCTTAGCCAGCTTTCCTGGCTGCCAGCAGGGATGGGAAACTGGCAGAAGTGTGTAAACTCACCAGTGGAAATTTCTTGCCTCTTATCGCAGCACCTACTGAGGGCTGCAGTGTCATGTGGCGGGAGGTTTTA